GCTCCATCTTTTCTGAAAAGAGCGTGTTAATGACCACAAGCGATCAGACCTCAGTTTTACTTCTCACCCCAAAAACAGGTGAATAAAAAAAATAAAAAGTGCAGAGGCAAGAGACTACAGCTCCGGATCATGAGCAAAGTGACTAAATACATTTAAAAATAACTAGAATTCATTCAGATGTTCCTGTTTCTATGCAAACTTCTATGGAGTTTTTGGCGTCGGCTTCAGTGGGAGCAGACAAAAATCAGAGTGAAACATGGTTTATATATAAAAAGGCATCTGAATGATTTCAAGGTACTCGAGTAACGTTTATCAGAATATCTAATACAATGGTGTGTACAGTACAGTGCTGTTTGCACAGGGCTTTCTAAACAGGGCAACAACCTCACAATAGCCAAAGCGGTACATAAGTGAGCACTCTTCTCCCCATGAGAGAGATGGGCTGCTTGATTCTACTTCCAGTTACACCAGTGATTATCAGACCTGCCTGGTTTCAAATGGTCCAGAGACTCTGAAATACCTAAGAGTTAGAGTGTCATGAGATCTCTGCATTGTTTGAGAGACACTGGAAAGCAGAACAGGGGAATCAAGAGAGAGAGCCAGAGTTTGATGAATTTCACCATACAGCATCTGAATGCTGCACAGAGCTCACAGCAGAGCAGCAAAGCAAAACCCAGCAGGTAACTCAAGGATTCACACGTAAGAGGTAAGATCAGGTCATCTTGGATACCGGTATTCACAAGGGATGTTTGCCACCAGAGCTAAACACACAGCCCTGTGTGGAGCTTGGATTCACTCGGACCTATTGTTCTGCTGAGAACGGACAAAGGTCTCCCCTTCAAAGATTAGGAAAAAGTCTGTATTCTTGCTCCCTTTAACATTTTAAGATGCTCACGAGGGGTGGTGGGTGGGATGAGGGTATATAAAATTCCTGACCATTATGCTACATATGCCTACATCTCCGTTCCGCTCTCTGTGTGCTGTGCATATGAAAATCCCCTCCTGTACGTAACTCCCAAGCTATCTAATATGCAGGCCAGCCTACCTTTGCCTTTCACGTTTAAGCCATGTTTATCCCCTCTGAAGTTCAAGTTAAGGATCTTTCAGTCTCCTCTATCCCAGACAAGGAGGTCCTCCATGTGACCAGGGAATTTTGAGTTAAGCTCTCAAAGACCAAAGCAACATCCAGGCAGCAGAACGTTGGGACCTACTGTTTCCAAGGATGCAACACTCGGACCCGTCTCTAGCCTTCAGCTGCACGACACACACCACAGACCTTCCCAGTGTCCAGTAGAAAAAATAATTCAATTGCTTCAGAAGATCCGCCCCCCGACACAGTTTCAGCAGCCTTCTCTGGCTTACAGAGCTTTATTATCTCCAGGACACCAGGTCTCCAAGTGCCACAGTGAATGGGAGAACACACACGACCCTGTATTAATAAACTGCTCCCCCATTCCTCTCTCTCCCCCCGCCCCTTCTCTCCCAACTCTCTCTGGATTTCCCTCATGCATAATGCAGGAATTGTAGCCCTTGACACTACCCACTCTGTACTCTGCGCCTCCTGAGTCAGCTGAGAACAGACTCAAGTGCCAGTCAGGGCCTGTCCCCGTGTTCCACGCACTGGAGGCTAGAGACACTTGTACGCCAGGGTTTTTGTTTGTTCCAAATGCAGCCTCGTTCTGTTTCAGCCCTTTTTAATAGAGCTCGACACTGATATGACAGATCCATAGAACACACATCAAGCTGACAAAAAGCCAGGAAGTTCTGCTCTCTCATACCCCAGTGAGAGTCCACAGAAGGCAGTGGGGGGGAGGGGTCTCAGCTCTGTTACATCAATGCATTTGGCCCCATATATTGTGGAATAGCTTCCAGCAGTTTAACTCAGATTATTAGCATCATTTATGGGAGGATTTTTAATACTACATTGCCCTTCTCTAGCACCACCAGCCAAGAATCTCAAAGGACTTTATAAATGTCAATTAAGCCTTAAACTACCCACTCCACATTGACACACGTATCACAACCACCATTTTATAGATGGTGAAACTGAGGCACAGAGGACACACAGAGAAGAACGGACTTCTAAAGGGAGTTAGTGGAGGAGTCAAGAACAGAACCCGCAAGCCCTGACTCACAGTCCACTAATCTAATTACTTGACCATTCTTCCTCATTCTTTTAAAATATTAAGGCTTCCTTTACTGATATTTAATAGGAACCCACTAATATGGAAAACAGAGTTAGAATTAGTCAACAAGCCAGAATGGCCAGAGCTCAGAAAGGGAAAAGAACCTTCTGCTGGTTTCAGAGGATACTTCTTGTTCCCAAAAGGCAGATGGGGTGCAAACCAGAAAGCCAAGAGAACTGGAAGGAGAGAAGCAAGCCAGACAGCTAGCAGAACCAAAACAGAGACCAGGAAGATGTGAGGAATAAAAATACTGAGTTTGGCATGGGCACGCTCACATCTGGAACTCACTGGAGACAGAAAAGGTGACTAATCCACACACAGTTTGCTTGACGGCTTGGATGCCCTTTGCAAAAGCTTCAGACAAATGGAAGCAAAGTAATCCAGCCAAAAAACCAAACCAACCTTGATAGCTCTCTCTGCACAGGAACTAGATGACATTCTAGAAATGTGGCTGGTTATTGCCAACACCTCAGTGATCGATCAGAACGGAGCTGTATGGTAGAATAAGGTTATAGTTCCTAATTCTCCACCTTTCCTCTTACTTTTATTTTGAGTGTGTCATTGGCAGTCATACTTCAATGACAAGAGACGGTCAGAGGGCCTGATTCTCCTCACTTACATCAGTGCCGCTCTATTGCCTGCAGCAGAGTTGCCCTTGATTGACAGAAGTGTGAACAGAGGAAAATCAGGCCCAGAATCCGCTACTCTATTATTCTGCTCCATGGCAGCTTCCTGATCAATATCTACTTCCGGCCCTACGTAGGGACACATGGAGATTGGACAGAGTGGTAGGGAAACATCTGGACTCTGGTTTATGAATTCCTCAACCTCTAAGAGTTAAACCACCCTTTTAAACTGGAGACGGTGCTCCAGAAAACTCCTTCATGTGAATAACTCCTGCTCTTGCTGTACAGTCCCTGCTTTTCATGCAAAACTCAACTCAGCCTCAACTATAGAACCCAAGGCAGCCTTTCCACAATATGGATGTTAGCTCCACCACATTCCCATCAAGCCCCTTGGATCCCAAAGGACTTCATAATTTAGTGGCCAAGCCATCCATGCAAAGGCAACATGAGATTAGAGGGGGGAGGGGTGAACCACATAAAACACTTTGCACATTTCAACTCAAAATGTTCCTGGAAAGAAAGTTTTCCTGGGCAGGATGGATCCGCAGTCTTGTGGAACAAGCAGAGGGCATGGCCTTATTCTTGCATGAAACCCAGGGTCTGTGAGCATCTGAGACCTGCTGATCCTTGGGGCATCTGAGTTCAGGGTGTGTCATCATGGGTCTTCCTTCTACAGACCTTAATGGTCAAACAGCCATTGTCCCACTAACCATCTGTTCCACCCCACCTGAGGGGATACAAACTGGAGTTTTTGCTGCTCTGAGCAATATTCGATTCCAAAGACCCGCCTAGAATGGCTCTTTCCTAGATCCAGGTTTCCACCTAAAGGCAGCCATGCTCCCTGCTGCCCACCCCTTCAAAATCCCACAAGGCCCTTAACTCAGTTAGGCTGTCAGGGACATTGCAAGGACTGGAACAGTATGCCAGGAAATCATTGCTCCCTTCCTTCCAGGGTTTTCAGTTCAATTTCACATACCCTACAGAATGGAAGAGTGCATGCGTCCATATATACACACACACCCCAAGAAATTTCTCACTGCTATGCTGACATGTGGCCACCTTAGAGTGGTGGATGGCAACTAATCAGAGGAAAAGGTACATGGCATGATGCACATCAGGAGAAATATTTTGGTCAGAAATCTCCTACTCTTGGGAATAGAACCATGTGATCTTTAAGGGCTGTGCACCAAGACAGACGCAGTTTCTAAAGGCCACATGGCATGGAACTCACTTCATGAAGCCCAGAAAGATAAAATGCCAAAGTGAATCTGTTGGACTGTTTACCAGTGGTTCTGGGAGAGAAAGTCTGGCAAACACCTAGCGTTCAGCCATTCCTTTATTTGCCACCTAACTAAGGTCCAGAACTTGGTGCTCCAAATGCAAGCACAACTTCCATTACCTTAGTAGGAGTTTTGCCTACGTACAGTGTTTGAGGTGAAGTCCAAAGTGCAAACCATTACTGCATATTACGGAACCGCTGGAACATCTAACAGGAGTTAAAGCACTAGGCACATCCAGCTTTGGTAAAAAGGCATCGGAAAGATGGTTAACAGACTGTACTCCCTATTAGACTGAACAGCTACGCAGCTTTTTTAATGCTATATTTATACTGACCATGGGCAGAGAAAGCAAAAAGCAACTCACTTTGAGCTTTGCCAGGGCTTGATCTTGAGAAGCAGGAAGCAATGAGCTCTCTTCTTGCTGGGCCAATGCTCCCAATTCCCGAATACTAACAATCCTGATGGCTCCGTTTGCTCCCAGCAAGCAAGCCCCGCCACTGAGAAGCTCACGCTGCCGCCGCCTGTGACTTGGGAACGCAGTCTTTCCCAAAGTCCAGTCACCAGCCGCGCTGAAATCCAGACAGGTTTCCTTTTCCAAACACAGCATCAAAAATGATGGCTGGGCAACACCCAAGGGGCGCCTGAACCCTGAGCTGAAGCACCTCCAAACAAAACCAACTTACCGGCCGCCTCCCATACCCACTTCACTCTGTTCTGCTGAATCACTTACTGCATTGTCGGCAGTGCTGAGAGGGGAATTTTACTGAGGCTCACACAGTTCAAGCCTAAGACGCAATGCACAGCAGCACTAACTGCACGTTTAACTCGCATGGTGCTGTGGCACAGCTCAGGCAGTACAAGCCAATGAGAGGATAATTACTTCACAGCAGGCACTCCTGTAACCCAAGCTGGTCTGCCCCTGGATAGAATTGCCTGCTCCTCTAACAGTTAAACACTTGTGCGCTGACCGAGAACTAGCTGCCAAGCAATGTTTCCTCTGAGGCTGGGATCGCAAATATGGCAGTACCTGGGCTAGGTGCGGAAGGGAAGTTACTTCCAGCAGCCAAAGGATATTCTAGGGACAGCCCAAGTTGTCTCCCCCACATTTCAGAACACTCAAGAAGCATGGGCTGGATAGCTGGACTTCAGAGATAACGGAAATCCAAGAGGAACAAATAAAAGTAGGGTGTTCAAACACGGGGGGGTGGGGGGAAGAGAATGGGAAAGATTCTTATGAAAGAATAATGACAGTGGCCTGATTCTGCTTTCGTACACAGCGTGCAGTTACTTTAACAAGTACAGAGCAGGTATAAAGTGCAACCAGATCAGAATAGCAGCATTTCACTCTCACTTCACATGGCTGTAACTGACAGCACAAAGTGCAGAGCAATGGAGAATCTGTATAAACTGTCTACATAGAGCACCCACTCCTAACTGGGGGTCAGGAGGGGGTCATGGGTGCTCACATCCCTACTGCACATGGTTTTAATGGATGAAAACCAAAGTAACACTGGGGAAAGAGTTTGAGGGAGTCATCAAATCCTGAACTCCAGGAGATTTGCCCATCCCTAGTACACACACACACACACACACACACACACACACACACACACACACACCCTTAAAAATCCAACTTCTCCTGTCAGGAAGGAGGGTCTCAGTTATAAGGAGATCAGTGTTATTCAATGCAGGGCAGAAATGTCCTCAGGAGAAGTAAAACTGTACGGCTGCAGGACGGTGCTTTCCATGTGGAGTTATTTGTATTACACAGAGTTTTTTCATTCATAATGAAGCAATGCATAGTAATTTTTAAGGAGGGGGCAGAGGGAGAGACGCTCCAGGTTCCTCCACTCCCCCGACCCCAAATATGCCTTCAATCCTCAGTAGCTCCACATCCTAGTGGAGTCTGCAGGATCTGACCTTCTCCAGGGCCTGAGGATGTTCTCCATCAGAAGGGAAGGCTGGAGAGTGACTCGAGTCCCTTCCTCCATCCTAAGGAACAAGTATTCTGACTCTACAGGGCTCTAAGCCATTGCCTGCCCAGGAGAAGTGGCAGCCAGCATGGATCCCCTATGCGATGCACTTGACCATGAGACTGTTGGGCCTGACAAGTTATTGAACATGTTGCTGTAATGAGAACTGTGTGTTCCCTGCATA